GGCGTGTGTTTTTGGGGCACCCAGCTGGGCACATTGATTCGCGAATCGCTAGAAAATCCGGTATGGCTTGTCTGCGGTTTGGCACCGTAGTAAGAACTGAAAGTGGAAAAGGAGAAGAAACAGAACTGATTGCTCAAGTCTTGCTTGAAAGTAGAACATGTGCTTATATAGGCTGGCTAGATGATAACTTAATACGGCTGATAATAATAATACAGAAATAAGGACGCACCATTAGTATTGCTTTCTGCTAAAGGAAACCAGCAAGCCATAAAGCTTATCATATTCCTTGGAGTCGGGAAATTATTCCCCCTAGTCGGATAAGTCTTGCTAGTACAATTTGTACTCAGGGTTTATTTACCCCTATTGCAGGTGATGCTTGAAGAGTACCTTTATGTGGAGGATCCTTCTGGTGGGCTCAGACGGATTCCTCGCCCCTTACCGCTTGATGTTATTTTTAAATTCCATTGTTTATCATTCCGCACTCTAGTATTTGGTATTGTAATAATGTACTTTTTAAGAAACTCTGATGTATGAAATGGACTTGTATTGTAACTCGTTCTCATTATTGGATCCTTGGGAAAAATATGGATCTTCCGGGTTCTCCCTCTGGGTTTGCCCGACGGACACCGCTCACTGTAGCTTGCTTTTGGGGTGCTTAGTGTCTGGTGGAAGATGAGCGCCTCCGTAAGTATGCTATTTCGGGCGGTTCTGCCAAAGGCCGTGTCAGAGAAAGATGGGCTACGGTAGCGTTATGGCAGAGGTGCGTAGGGTACTTAGGAGGGGGAGACGAGGCTGGTGGTGCAAGGAATCGCCATAGGGTGCTTTGGATAGGTGGCTGGCCAACGGTGCGTGTCCGTCTGGTCTTATGGACCCGGCGGAGCGGCGATTTCAAATTGAGGCTTTGTGCGGTGGTACACGCAGCAAGGTGGGGACGGTTGCGCGGCCAGCTACCCAACGGAGCCAAGGATGCGATGAATTGGATTATAGTGCTGCTATCACGATGAATCGAAGGAAAGGGGTCCCACCGGCCATGGCGACAGCGGAGACAGGGGGGTTCTGGCGCGGCATGGCTTGGCACAGCCGTGGCCGTGAATGCAAAGTACAAGTGTGCATAATGATGGGGAACAGCGAGGTGTGCTCCAGGCGGCTGTCCGCACGGTCGAACCCGCAAGTCGACGAAGCTCAGTACAGCGTCACAGCGGACAGCACCGGACAAGGCAAGCAACAGCGCAACGTGATGCCGAAGTGATGGTGGAGCAGGCGGTCGTCCCACGCACGTGCAGCCACGGCGAGTCAACGGGAGCAGTGCCGGGCATGGAGATGGGCGACGTGTAGCGTGGCCGGGGTACCATGCGATGCGACGGCGAGGCAGAGTTGTCGGGACCCGGGCACAGTGCGCTTGCGTGCGTGCGGGGTGAGTGCCGGGCAGATACGTCCGCCCGAAAGCAGATCATGCGACCCGGCGCACCTCCGCTAGTCAGGAAGGCGGCGTGGCGGCTCTTCGACGTCTACTGGCGAGCCAAAGAATGCGCGCCAAAGCCGCCAAGCAGCGGTGGTGGTCGTCGCGGTCGCGGGCTTGTTCAAAATAGGTGACGTGCACGATTTTTAAAGCGGTCGCAAAACCCTACCCAAAGGTCCAAACGCCAAACTACTTCTTCCATACTCCAGTGGGTACGTAGAGCTATCGACCTAAGCCGCGACACCACGCCACTCCTTAAGCCGATCTCTCTACAAAAATTACCAAAAATGGCTTCGTCGACCCATTTTTAAACTTACGCGAAATGACGTTTCGCGTCCAATTCCAATTCCGACCTACTGGATGTACTAGCTAGCTACCTCATCCTCGACCGCATATATTTCATCACCGCCTATGAAGTAAGTACTACAAACTTTATCAAAGTTCGCATAAACATTCTATAGCATTTTTGTTCGATAAAAATTCGATTAGAATACTAAACGATATCAAGCGACATGAAACATAACGTTTGTTTCTTGTTTCGGATAAACGTTTCCAGTACCGTACATTGATTTATACATTATGTTACACACATTTGCACATAAGTAGGATGCTCATGCAGTGTTTAAGCAAAAACAGTACAATGTAACACCGATGGTGTTACATTAAGTGTCCCTTATGCTAGCTTATGCTCTAGGTTCTTAGGTTGTATGACCTTGCTAGATAGATTTGTTACCTTCCTCTTCGTAGCGGAAACGGATGTGGCCAAAACATATAAAAAAAAAAGATTGGCCTAGTCGCTCATAGGGACATATCTATCCGATAGAGGATAGTCTAGATCAATTTTTAGAAAAATCTCTCTATATATAGAATAGATAGGTATCTCTGTGGATAGAGATAAAGATAGGGATCCCTATAAATCGAAATATATGGAAAAAGTGCACTTTTTGACTACTACTATTTCTTAGACTTTTTCAAGGAAACATCGTTTTTTCGATTTTTACTGAATTGGTCGGAGCGTAGATGAGCGAGTAGAGCCCAGGAAAGAGGTCAGATCGTCATAGAGCAGTCAACTATAAGTATAAGACTACTGGCCTGAGAGAAGGAAGTCTCTCTCGAGAAACATGGCCCAATTTCTCTTCTTTCTTTTCACACGGGCAACAATTGGGAATAAAACAGACCATGAACATGAGTTTAAAATGTAAAAAAAAAGGTATGAAAGACTTATTCATTTTTAAAAGGAGGATATCAGTGATAAAGGACAAGAAGGCACAGATTGTGGTATCGCTTCCTAAAATAGGGGCTCCCACCTCTAGCTAGGGGGAAGCAGCCACTGGTAAGTCCCCTCGGGGGGCTTGCCTGCGATAGTGACCGACGCGACGCTATACCGGAAAGGCCCCTCGGGGTGTATGGAAGTATAGGATATGTCGGCAGAGCTTGGAAAGGTGATCCGGGCAAACCCTTTAAAAGGGTTTCCCCCGCACCCTCTTTCCAAAAAACGATGGATCAGTGAACCTATCTTTTTTCTGATTTAATCAGTGGTTAGGTTCACTACTATGAAGAGATAACTAGCTACACTTAGCCCTTGGGGGGAGCCCCCTCCCCCCAGCCCCCCTACGGAAGTATATATTTTAAACAGTTCGAAAGAACAGCTTCCTTGGGATAATTAGTTAGTTATTTCATGTTCATACGATCTTTGGGATATAGAATCCTCCCTGATTGAAATGAAGGCTTCTCTCTCCCTTGATCTCATTGATACAACTCTTCCATCGCTCTGCTATGCTTCCCAAAAAATCCTATTAGAAGTAAATCATATTCTATACTTTTCGAGAAGCAGAGCAGAGGGAACGGAGCCCTCGCCCCGGAGGGGCATAGTTCTATGCTTGATAAATCAATTCAGAGAATTGATTTAATATACTGCATAAATATTAGTATAGATCCCTATCTATACTATTATTTATTAACAGTGGCATCCCAGAGGTGAGCTCTCACTAGCTGGGCACCCTAGTTGCTCTCTTGCTTAGTCTTTTGTTAGGGTGTTTTTTGAACTTGGTTAGAGGGGTGAAGTCGTGGCTAGTTTGTTAATTCCTCATTTAAATCAGCTAACCTTCATGATTAAGTTTTAGAAATGACTGTTCTCAACCCTCTAGTCGGCCATCTCGATTCTACAACTAGCCCTCATCCGTGTCCAACCCTACGTACCTCTCTTTCTCTCTCCATCCCCTCCCTTTCCCAATCTACCTTGTCCTTCCAAATCACGACGATCCGACTGCCTACTCCTCCCGATACACCACTAGCTCCACGCCTAACCCTCCGCACCTTGGTCGCCGCCCCATCCCACAAAGGTGGTCATCTCTTCCTCTAGCTACCCGATCAAAGCAGTTGAAGCAACACGACAGATCAATCTGTGGTAAGGCAAATCCATACGACGGCGCGACCCTGATCGGATCTGCAGTGTCTGCCCAATGATGCACCTCTCTCCCTCCCAACGACCTCCCTCTCCTCTCCCCTTAGACTAGCATGCCCAACAAAGGCTCATATTGGCGCCTTGGCAGATCCGGTGAGGGGCCAACTTATGGTGTGCCTTGTGACCCTGAAACGTGGCATGGATGACGGGGCCCTCATGGAGACTTTGCGACTATGAACATCATGTATGTTCTGGTTCGAATCCCCCCGATGCTATTCTCGTTCAAATCCCTTTTGAAGCTGTTGTTCACTGGATGCAGGTGAGCCCTGGGCGGCAGAACCCAAGTAACAACGGAGCCCTGAGCCTCAAGATGCGAGCGGGGCGGGGGCTCGGGGATGTGGATCTAGCCATGCCGGGGGTGAGGCGTATCAGATGACGACAAGCGAATCCATTAAGGTTGATAACGTGGGCGACAATGGCATTGAAGGCGGGAGCACGCGGTGGCAATGCAGCACAATTCTAGCGAGCTGCAACAGCAGCGGTGGCACGGTGGCACATTGACGAGCTTAGCAGTTTTTTTCTATTAATATAGGCGGTCATATAAGACCGTCTCTAAAAATGGTGATTAGTAGAGATGTCTAATCAGAGACGGGTGTCTCTCGCCCGCTTCTGTTAACGTTTTGTGACCGACTCTATAAATTGTTATTGCCGTAGTAAACATAAATCACGATGAGTCTATGGAGATATATATATCCTCATGACATGAAATATATAGATACATATACTTAAACTGTATTATTACTTGACGGAGCGATGGATGGATTACATACAGAGGACGCGGTCTAATATACATGTAGTCGTAGCAGGTGCAGACAATACCACTGCATTTGATCGATTCATCAGCAAACAAAAAAGAAGGTTCTCTCTCTCACTGCACTACTGCTTGTTGCATTGTTGTGTGAAGAAAAACAAATACATAGATGGTACGGTGGATCGGAGTACAAAGCAGGAATGAAAAGCAACAACAGCTAGTAAGGAGGATGGATGGATCCATGCACGGCCACGGGGCACGGGGCACGGCATGCCGCCGCAATATGCAGGAGCGGATGATGGAGAAGATACGACGTAAATAAATTATTAGTTGACGGTGACCTTGCCGACCATTCCGGCCCCTTGGTGCGGCTCGCAGTAGAAGGCGTAGGTGCCCGGCACGGTGAGGGTGACGGAGTAGGTCTCGCCTGGCGCGTTGAGGTACTCCTCCTGCGAGATCTTGGTGGCGTCGACGCCGCTGGGCACCTCGTCCTCGTCGAAGACGACGTTGTGCGGGTACCCGGCGTTGTTCTTGAAGGTGATGGTGTCGCCGGCCTTGACGGTGAACTCGCTGGGCTCGAAGACGAGCACGCCTCCGTTTGCGCCCAGCAGCACCTCCTGGGCCATGGCGCCGCCGGCAAGCAGGGCGCTGGCGGCCACGGCCACGGCAGCCGTGCCGGCGGCCTTGCCGAGAGAGGCGCGCACGGTGAAGGACCTCCTGGCGACGGCGCGGGCGGCCGGCGCGGCCAAGGAAGGGGCGGTGATGGTGGCAGAGGAGAGGGGGGCCATGGCGATTGGCGAGCGAGGTCGGTCGATCGTCAGCTAATTATTAAGCTAGATAGATAGCAGCAAGAGGCCCAAGAAATAAAAATGGATGCAGCAGGGCAGGGCACGGCAGGGGAGATGGGATGGAGGCGAGACCGAGACGACGAATGGGTGGCCAGCGACGCGCGGCATCGGATTTTCTTATCCCGTGCTGGCGCCGGTTTATGGCTGTGATGGACGCATGCATCCATTCCGGATCAGATTTCTGCCGCAAGGCCGCAACCCTAACACGTCTACGTACGTGTGGATACAACATTGCCAATGCAACGCGACACTGATTCCAGGACCACCAGTTTTCTTCTCAGCAACGTATCAGGTGCAAACCAATCAACCTATGCAAACTTAGAAACTACTAATCAGGACCACTAGATGCTGATCCAATGGATGGGGTGAGAGCTGAGATGTTTTTACGCTTAAGCCCCCACCCGCCGGCCTTTTTTTTTGCGCTTAAGCCTTCTCACCCCATCCATTGGATAAGCATCTAGTGGTCCTGATCGGTAGTTTCCAAGTTTGCACAGGTTAGTTGGTTTGCACTTGATATGTTGCCTTTCTTCTTCGTCTTCTAATCTCTTATTAGTGTCGAGTAAGGAAAATTGCACTCCGATCCATATGGCTCTCGCTAAAAAAAACCAGATGATCGATCGAAAAGATCAAACCTGGTGAATACACTAGAAAGATGTGGGAAATACAAATTCCTCGAAGCACTCTACAAACTATGGGTGTTTCAACAAGCGACGTCTGACCGTCTATGATACAATGAATCCAAGAGTAACAGCTCGAAATCGAAGACTCTTTCTAGCACTATGAATGCTCAAAGGATGAGAATGAAGCTCGTGAAGTCAATTTGTCACCCAACTCAATCTCACTCCAAGATGCCAAGAATCCCAAGCCAAAATGAGTAGAGGGGGGGAGGTAGCACTAATGAGTTTGATAAGAATCAGGTTTATGATGGGTCAAGAGTGAATGTGGCGATAGAGTGAGAGGTACAAATACTCCACCTCTCTCATCTAGCAATTATCGTACAAAATTGCCAAAGAACATAAATTATGACCGTGGTTAAAATCTGCAAGCCCTGAAAAATATAATAGTGTTTCCACAATAGGGTTATACATAAACAACATCAGATGTCGAAAATTCTGACCCAAGATCGCAAATTCTGATATAGGACCATAGGAGGCAATGGCAACTTGACGACTCCTGATTGGAAATTATCCCTAAAATTCTAACCTATTGGAATTTCAGCCTATGGTATCTATGTTTTAGTTAGGTACCTTTGAGCACTCAGCGCAAGTGACTTGATTTTGATCCCTTTAATAGTAAGGCTTTTCTAATACTCAAAATAAGATCAAAAGAATATATAAAAGGTTGAAACTTCCATAATCAAGTCCTTTTACCATAGTCATCATCACATAAGGAACTGGGGGTTCTTCATTTGTCCATCACACTTTTCATAATCGTTAGTCATTGGAATAGTTCATGAACCTTATTAGTTCTTTGTTTGCATTTCTTCATTAACTCACCAAAATTGATGATAGAATTAGATGCACTTTCACCTATAACCCGGGTCGTCATTTTTCCAACGCTACATATGCCCTCCTATCAAAAAAAAAACGCTGCTACATATATGCCCTAAACGGGATGACCATACAGGCGAGTAGGATGTTGGGCCAAGCCTGAAAGCAAAGAGTGGGCCGCAGTAACGAACAAGTGGTGGGTGTGGCCTGGCCGGCTGGCCCGGACCAACGACTTTTCCATCGTCAAGTCGTCGTGCTCGTCTTCGTCTACCTCCCGACTGGAATAGAGAATACCCCATTCCAATTCCAATCCCCCAAATCCCCAGCCCCGGCCGGTCAAATTAGGGTTTCCTGCTTGCTTCACAGGCCCGTCCAGTTTGCGGAATCAGTCGGTGGCGCTTGCGATGGAGTCCCTGTTCGGCTTCTGGGACGCGCAATCGCAGCGGAGGAGGACGGGCGGCAGCGGCGTCGGCTTCGAATCGCTCAAGCGTCTGGGTCACATCTCACCTGCTGTGCAGTCGCACCTCAAACACGCAAGTTCCTCGTCTCCTTTTCCCCCATTCGCATCCCGATTCTCTTCTTACCCTTTGCTTTGGCTGATCCCGTTCCGTCCGTTCCCGACTGCAGGTGTACCTCACCCTATGCTCCGCGCTGGCCTTCTCTGCGCTCGGCGCTTACCTCCACATCCTCCTCAACGTCGGAGGCACCCTCACGACCCTCGGATGCCTGGTCGCCATCGCCTACCTCATCTCCCTGCCCGCCTCACAGGACCAGGAGAGGAACCGCTTCGCCCTGCTCATGGCTGCCGCGCTCCTTCAAGGCGCCTCCGTTGGCCCGCTCGTCGACCTTGTTATTGACTTCGATCCGAGGTCGATCATCGCCATCATCCTTTATTTTAAGTATTATTCATTATTCATTAGGCCTCTCCACACTACTGATACTGAATGACATTGTTTTGTTCGTTCCTCAATTTCCCATCCATTTCCTCTCAGCCTGGAGTAGCTAGCTAGCTAGAAATTTACACAAAAAGAATGATGATCTCTTGAGCTGATTCATAGAGTACTTGTGGTCTGCCTTGTTAAACTGCTTTTGCTCTGCTCATCTACCAGGATTCTCGTGACGGCGTTCGTTGGAACCGCAATTGCTTTTGGATGCTTCTCTGGCGCTGCCATCATCGCCAAGCGCAGGGAGTACCTGTACCTCGGTGGTCTGCTTTCATCTGGCCTCTCAATTCTTCTCTGGCTGCAGTTTGCTACTTCAATCTTTGGCCACACCAGCACCACCTTCATGTTTGAGGTGGATAAGCTTGCTTATACCCTACAAACAAAAGTTGTCTTCGCCTTGTAACAACTAAGCTGACTGACTGCATCATGGTCGTGGATGGCCACCTGCCCTCCTGCAGCTCTACTTTGGCCTCCTGGTTTTCCTGGGATATATGGTGTTTGACACCCAGGAGATTATCGAGAGGGCGCACGGTGGGGACATGGACTACATCAAGCACGCGCTGACTCTCTTCACCGACTTTGTTGCCGTTCTTGTTCGGATCCTTGCCATCATGGTGAGTTGTGTTGTTGTATGCGTGTGTTTTACTCCCTACTTTCCAAATTATAAGACATTTTGGCTTTTCTAGATAACTAGTTTTTGCTATGCATTTAGATATATAATATACACTATGTCTAGATACATAGCAAAAGTAATGTATGTAGCAAAGCTTTGGAACGGAGGGTGTAAAATTTTACTCTTCTCTCAGGAAATGGTTGCTATTGGATGTAGTACTGGCCATACGTTAGTTGATGGCTGCTGCCTCACACTAAGTCGTTGTTGCTTGGTTGCTTCTGCAGATGAAGAATGCAGGAGAAATCCGAAGACGAGAAGAAGAGGAAGAAGCGCTAGCTGCTGAATGAATTGGGGGACACCACAACTCCAACTATCCTATCTTGTTCCTATGAGAAAACTCATGAAACTGTGTTGTTGGGGTCTCCCCTTTCCTCCTGAGTCTACCAAACTCTTGAAACTATTATGTTGTTGGGGGTCTCCCCTAGTCCCCTTCCCTCCTGAGTTTACCTAACTATTACTACTAGTACCATGTATGTACTCCGTGCTAAAGACCAGAAGAAGCTTTGAGCATGCAATTGTTACCTGAATGTACCGATGACTGTTGGGAATGAGTATTTGGTTTGGCTATTATTGTGTTGATGATTTGCTGGTGATGATGGATGGACTTGCTGTTTATTCAGGCTACCTGTAACTAATACTGTGAATTCACAAATGAAAATCGAGTTCAGTGGTGGGAGTATAAAAATAATTAAAAAAAGTAACTTTTCTGCAAAGTTGGGCACCACCGTGCTCGTTCTTGGCTGTGTAGCCTGTCAGTGTACAGTGCTTGGTGCTGAGCTGAGTCTGTTCCGCTTCCGGTCCTGTGGTTTGACTCCGGATGGCATCTGCCGCGGCCGTCGCCGTCGCCGCCCCAGGCAGCTCCACCGTCACCGCTCCGGTCCTTGGCCGCCGCCGCCGCCGCCGCCAAAAGTGGTCATGCGGCCTTGTACCAGGACGGTCGTCGTCGTCGTCTGCTAGAGACAGTTGGTGGAGTCCGCCAGCGCAAGATCCTTGCTCTGGTGCCGTGTTTGGGCCATGAACGGGGCCCCCTCGTTCCGGCGTCTGACCACTGGGGCAACTGGACCTTCCTCCTAAGCACCGCCGCCCTGGGCATCTGGTCGGAGAAGCGGACCCCCGTGGGCAAGGCGCTGAGCGGGGCGCTGGTAAGCGTCCTGCTGGGGCTGGCGGCCAGCAGCGCCGGCGTGGTGGCGGCGGACGCCCCGGCCTACCGCGTGGTGCTGGAGTACCTGCTGCCGCTGGCCATCCCGCTGCTGCTCTTCCGCGCGGACCTGCGCCGCGTGCTCCGCTCAACGGGGGCCCTGCTGCTGGCATTCCTGCTCGGATCTCGTCCGTAATCGTATACTCCCTCTCTTTCTCTCTCTCTGTCGTATTGTCTGCCTGCTGCGTCTGACTCTGACTCCGTATTGTGTCATTGTGTGCAGTGGCGACAACGATTGGCACTGTGGTGGCGTTCCTGCTCGTCCCCATGCGCTGGCTAGTTCGGCTGGCTGGCTGACTGCCCACTCACGCCCACTCGAACAGCATTTTTCTCTTACGCAACGATTCAGTTGAAATAATATTTTGACTTATTCAACCGGTCTGCGGAACCAGCCCTAGGGCCGGACAACCGGAAGATCGCGGCGGCGCTCATGAGCCGCCACATCGGGGGAGGTGAGGTGACATGTCCGTCCTGTTTGTTGCACTGCATTGCAGGAGGCATGGCAATGCCATCACTGACACTGAGTCACTGAAATGGAATGGAAATGCTGTTTCAGCTGTCAACTACGTTGCTGTTTCTGAAGCTCATGAGGTTTCTCCGTCAGTGCTGGCAGCCGGGCTGGCCGCCGACAACATCATCAGCGCACTCTACTTCACAAGCATCTTCGCAATAGCTGCGAGGATCCCCGCGGAAGACCATTCAGTCGGAGACGATGCTGCTGGGGGTGACAGTGTCAAGCAGAAGCAGCAGCACCACCACCACCAGTTACCACTACCACCCGTTGTGCACAGTGCCGTGCCCATGGCGGCGGCATTCGCCATATGCAGGGCAGGCAAGCTGGCGACGACCGTGCTTGGCGTTCCGGGGGGAAGCCTTCCCTGCATAACAGCAATCGTGGTGGCTTTGGTAACACTGTTGCCCTCTCACCTTGGCGACCTGGCGCCGTCGGCGGAGCCCATGGCCGTCATTCTGATGCAGGTGTTCTTCGCTGTTGTGGGAGCCAATGGAAGCATCGGCAATGTCATCAACACCAGCCCTAGCATCTTTGCGTTCGCCTCGGTGCAGATCGCGGTGCACCTCCTGGTCACCCTTGGCATCGGGAACCTGCTCGGCCTCCACACCATGCTGCTGCTCATAGCGTCCAATGCCAACGTGGGCGGCCCCACCACGGTCTGCGGCATGGCCACCGCCAAGGGATGGACCTCTCTGGTGGTTCCAGGAATCCTTGCGGGCATCTTTGGGATCGCCATCGCCACCTTCATGGGGATCGCTTTCGGTCTGCTTGTCCTCAAACACATGGCATGACAATATGTAGCAGAGATTGGCAGATTGTGCTCTGCATTCCTTTATTTGCATTTCCATGCTCTCATATATCTTTATATCTTTAGATTACACATGACATGAACATGATCCATCCACATAATAAGTAAGCTACAACAAACACTTATGACATACACATCTCGACGTTTCTAACTCATCCTAGCTACAATATATGGAACACTCACACCTTGCAACTCATCTACACAAGTTTCATTCTATCAACAAGGCAACATGCTACCTCACAACTCTTAGATTTCTGACTCCATGTCAAGCCAGCCAAATATACACCGGAGGAGCATTGTGAATCCTACAGACATTTTCCCCTGCTCCTTCGGTTCGGAGACCAACCAGGCAAACATTACCACTAGCTACTAATGCGCAGTTACCCCTGAATCACAAATGGTAGATGCCAATGCAGCAACTTGTACGAGCTACATTTCCATAATCCTACAAATACAAGGATGACGATGACGAGAGCCAAAAAGAGCAACCGCACAACTGAACCAATCCGTGCAGCCTCTCGTTGTCTTCTCAAGGATGGCACTGCCACTCCAGTCACATGGACGCTGTGCTGCATGCCCTCACGGACATCCTGGCCGGTCTCCTCCGTATGTTCCTGTTTGTGCCGCTGCTTGATATTGCCTCCATGATGTAGCTCACCCTGTAGCAGTGTACCTTCTGCAAAACAAAATTACCAAAACCTCAGATACAGCTCAAGTTGCAGTCATGCAGGTGGGATATCTATTCACTCCAACATATATTATATGGAGAAGGTCAGTGTTATGACCGGTACGGTCTATAGGCGCAGACACCGTGGCTAGGAGCCCGGCTGAGTCGGCCCAGTTGGTTATCAAGTCCTAGAATCTAGGATACTTATCTCTTGAGTTTGTTACTTGATTAAGTTAGAGTTGAGTCGGTTGAAGATTTGCTTGTATAAGTATTGAACAATTACGATTGAATGGATTAGCCTGGGATTGAGATACTCTTATCTCCCTTGGGCACCCAGCCCTTGCCTACTGCTATTCGTCATTGGTTTTTCACGCTGACCTAGCACCGGCGCCGAGCACGGCGCCGCAGGTTCGTCGCCGCGCCTTCAAGCCTCGACCTCAGGAACCTGGGCCCTAACAATCAGGTTTTACAGCATCGTGTTAATAGCATCCCAAGGCAATACAGGCAGATCCGTCTCTGGTCACATGCCGTTGAGTATTAGTGAAACCCTGAAAAGCTAACTTTAGACTCTACGATATGAGGAAGCAATCCAACTGAATTTTTTCGTAACAGAAGTGACCCCACAGCCCAAGTTGTGTAGAAGCCACTGATAAGAGCTACAGCTTTGCAATTTGCCGCAAATAAATGAGGAAAAAGCAAATGCAATGTGTGAAGTCGGCCTGGGCAAAAAAAAAAAAAAAAAACGAGACTGAAATACCCTGAGATCGAAATACCCGAACACTCGGTTGTCGGTTCTTATATCGGTCTCGAGTTTGGAAACACCGATTTATATAGAAGCCTATTCGGTCTGCACCGCTGAATACCTGAATTCCCGAAGTACCTGAACTAACGTCATCATCTGCTATTATGGTCGTCCTTATCCCCAAGTCTCCACCACCGTTTGCTCTGTGCCTCCCGATCTCGTGTCCTCCGCCCGGCCGCCCGAGGGAAACGGCGCCCCACGCCTGGTGTGCAGCATGCCAGCACCAGTCTCCGTCCCACTGCCTGCTCGGCACTTCCTTAGCGCCGCCGTCTGAGTTGCAGTCTCCTCTCAATCGCGCCCCTCTGAGTTGTCTCCTGTCTCCTCTCAATCACGCCCCTCATGCTGCAGCATCTTGCCTCTACCTTCGTGCCTCATGCTCGTCGCTCGACATCAACGCCAGGTGCATGAACCCCGCCCTTTTCCCATCCGCCGTGGCCGCCTGGCAGGAGATCCACCACCATGTACTCCTTCCGGTCTCGATCTGGCTTCAGCACCAATATGGGTATGCCAGAGATCCCCTACAACCCCATTCATATTACTGTATCTACTCATCTCGGTTTGTTCGGTCAGAACCGAAGACCGAATCAGAGAGACCGAAGATCGAATCCTCGGTTCACCGATTCTCCCATGCTAACTTCGGTTCTCAATATCTAAAGACCGAAAAACCCGACCCGAAATATCGGGTAGGACCGAACACCCACCCTGACTCCATGGAATATACAAAATATTTTTGACCTCGCTACCTGAACCATAGTTTTTTATAATTAATATTATATACTAAGTTCAGAGAGCACTAGAGCTATTTAAATGGAAATAGCAATATATTACCATCAAATGTGAAATCTTGTAGCTTTTCTGTCATTTCCGTCGACGAAACTACTTGAGTAGGTATCACCCCTCCACCTTGAATATGCATTGCTTCTCCAGCCTGATCAAGACCATATTAATCCAGTTAATACTAGCGTCAGTAAATGGAGTAATGGGAAGGTAGAGTCGAACCATAGATTGGGAGAACACATTGGCATAATCCTCGTTATTGTTGGTGGATGAACTGCCTGTGCTATAACATAATCCTGCTTCATCTTCACCCTCCAAATGAGAAGTTAGTACAGGCTCAGTGACTGATGCCCTCTGAATAGAGTGCACAAGGCGGATCCTTCTTGGTGCATTCCCTTGGTGTGGATCCGTAGAAGGTTCCGCTGCCCATCCTTGGAGTCCATTAAAGATATCTGAATCTGAAATGTCAATCCTAGCCGGTGCTACCATACCATTGAACAAGTGCTGGGGATAAGGAGTCGAGGAGGCTGCAGAGCACAAGGCTCCACTATTTGGTGGTTCCGTTTCAGGAATGAATGCCGATTGAAGTTGATATTGGTTGTCAAAGTGGGACACTTGAGCTGATGCATTGGAAGACAAGTTACTCTGAGCTCCTGTGTGATGATTAGCATTGTCTTTATCAGCCTGTAGTATTTTGGTTGCAGAAGAACAGCAAGCAGAAGCACCTGTGCCATCTGTACCCTTTGTTTGAAAAGGAAACTAGGAATTATGTTGAGGTATGAATCCCAAGATGGATAAAGTGAAGACAAAATGATCCTAACCTTGATTAGGAGCAACGTTTCAGAACCAACTTTTCCACGGCCATTTTCAGCCAATCTCTTGCTGTTTGAGCTGTTGTCTAGAACGGGTAGAGAAGTAAGGTGGGGCTCAACATTTACAGTGGCCTGCTCAACCATGTCAGCCAAAGAAGGGCTGGCCAACAAGTCTTCCAGATCCTGATGAGCAATGATACTATCTATATACGCTGAAAGATCTTGCTCGCCAGCATTGCCAAGAAAAGGATGATCAGTGTAAGGACGCATCGGAGAGGTGATTGTAGGGAATCCATCGAATGTATGCTCAGGTTGTAGGTCTGGAAGCTGGGCTAACACATCCAGAAGATGATCGTCTCCCTGCTTTAGGTTACAGTTACACCCTGAATCAATACACTGCGTGCATTGAAATGAGATCTTAACTTAGACCAATGCAAGGATACTCTACTGCACCTGGTTGAATGTTGGCTCATTGCTACTGTCAGTTGCAAGAAGATGAGACATTTGGGCAGAAGCCGGCTGGCTCAAATTCTCAGCTTTCACCGCTGGTGCGATGGCCGGAGACGATGTGGACGGTGAATCGGCGGCGTCTGAGGCTTCGGATTCCTCCTCGTTCTTGTTGAATAGGCGGTAGAGCACGAAGCTACCCTGGTGATAGAGTAGAAAGAAACAAGAAATGATTGTAATCAGCCTGGGGGCAGCAGTAGTCAAATGGGGGAAATGGGTAGCAGGAGCAAAACAAACGTTTTGGCCTTGCTGGAGCTGGGGCTCGGCCGTGCGGTACTCGTGCATGATCCAGGCGGTGCGGTGGCCTCGGGGCGCCCTGCCTCTGTGGAAGACGAGCGTCTTCTTGACGCCGATGAGGGTGCCTGCTGGGCGCGAGCGGATGAGGCGGTCCTTGCCCGTGGCCTTCCAGTACCCGGCAGCGGTGGAGCGGTTGGAGCGGTGGCCGCCGGGGTACTTGCGGTCGAGGGGCGCGAAGAAGAACCACTCGGGGTCGTCGGACCTGATGAGGGCCTTGGCGGGCAGCTCCCAGGGCTCGCACGCCGAGAGGTCGACATCGGGGATGAGGAGCAGGTCCGCGTGCGCGCGACCCGCGATCTTGGGCTTGAGGTAGTGCCGCACCAGCTCCTCGTCCGTCGGGCGGAAGCGGAACCCTACCGGCAAAGCCGCCGGCAGCTGCGGCGGCGGCTGCATCGCTTTCGTCCCTCCTTTCCCCGCTGCGCTGGCAGAGGAGATGGAGTAAAAGGCATGACATGGGCCGCCTTGGGCTGACCATGGGCTGCCTCTTCTCTTATCTGGCCTGACTAGGATTGGAGCCTAGTTAGGACTTCTCCAACGCTGCACTATGTATCATTACAGTGCCCTTGCCAACGCTACAATTTTATTTTAGGGATACATGTGAAAACAATGAAATGATAATATTTTTACGGAATTATATATGACTATGTATATAATCTAGAAAACACTCATGCATAGCAAGACATAGTACAGTGCCCGTGCTAATGCTACGGTGGTGTCTAAAAAATAAATCAACTGATGAAAGAAACACAAATTCACAAACAAATGTTCTAGCTATTAGTATTTTTTCCAGTACAAACGTGATGCATCGGAAGAGTCAAAGCACAAACGTGATGCATCGGAAGAGTCAAAGCTGCAACCTGCGCATCAATTAAAGACGGGAGGAATTAATAGGACACTGCATTGAAACCAAAGGTAAAAGACAAAAATACCCAATCTTTGTGATAGAAACCATCTTAATAAGACATAGTAAGCTTAGAGCCCTCTCTCCTCTCTCCACCACCTCAGTCTTTAGCCTGCTTACAGTTAATTTAGTGGGAGTACTCCACAAAATCCTCAAAGTAAATTGTGTTATTCACCTTTTAATTTAGGGTTGTAAAATGGCATTCAGAATCAGCGTACTGTTTTCAAAGTTCCTTTATTTAAATTGAACCACCAATCTGACGAAAGGAACCTTGAGAGGAGCCTCAGAACACAGGGTTTGAAACAGTACTATCTTCCCACTCCCCATAGGTACCGAGATAACCATGTTCACATCTGAGAAGAAGCACACATACATGGAAGCACTCACTTTGCAAGGAAGTGAAGTATCTGCAGAGAAACCAAAACATTACTTCGATCACTAAATCCCACCTCTACACCAGTCTCTCAATATTGCTTTATATTCCCCAACAATTCCAAATTCCATTAACCAACCATTACAATCTCATGCAATGATGCAATACGCAAGACTACTACACAATTGGAACCATCTCCAATCGCACAACTAAACAAAGACAATAGTGCAGAAACACAGTGTATAAACAACAAAAATCGAACGGGTAGCTTGATAATAATCAATAAATTAGCGCACAGGTCACACCTGAACATGAACACGGAGCAGAATGGCAGGGGCAGGTCAGAGACATAGCGTATCACATATGGATCAGCGAGAGATCCTATCCTTGATTGGGCGACCTAACATCAAATTGGATTAGGATAGACATCAAATTGCTCATCACTTGTCACTTGTATGTAAGCGGATACTGTTCAGCAATCTGTCCATACGATAGCAAATGGCAGGTGTAGAACTTCGATCTGCTTACTCTAAGTGCACATTGGATTTCAGATAGGCGATCAAACTGAACATGTGTACCTTTTCTCTTTTCCCAGTCGGTGGAAAGCAAGCAAGGGTATTTTGTAGGGAAGTTTTGGTATTTGGTTATGCTAGCTAGCACTACTAAATCACAACACTTCTGAATGAAATATGATGCCCCTCATTGATAACAACAACTAAAGGGGATTTGGACATTGCATTCAAGATTCATTCCCCATGGCCCAAGCTACCTTTGAATTCTGCTGACACGCGGTGATCACATAGCTAGCTCTCCGAGATTCTGAGGAGCTCCTCCAGGTACTCAGCACCGAGGTCCTCCAGCTCCACGACGAAGCGCTGCTGCTCTGCTGCCGCCGTGGTGGCGGCGTTCTTGACCTTGCTCGTGCCCGACACCACGTCGTTCGCTGACGCCGCCGCCACTAGAAGCTCGGATTTCGATCTTGCGCCGCTTCCTCTTGGAGTGTCACGACTTGAGCGCCAGCACGGGTGAGCCTCCCTCGGAGGCACCAGCCGCGCCGCCGCCGCCCATTGCGAGCACTCGGAGTGACTCCTGCGCGCACTCCACGGGGGAGTTGAGCGCGGCGGTGGAGCCCTAGGCGGACACGGCTGCCTGGTCATAGGCCATCACGGCGGCCTCAGCGTTGTCGAAGTTCCGCCGCTCTCCTCCCCCACGGCCGCTTCCACACCCTGATGAACGCGCCCTTGCTAGGCGCCGCCTGCCTCACACCAGCAACCGCTGGCACAGAGGCCTCGTCATCTGTGGCGCGCCAGGGCAGGCGCGACCGGAGCCGTGGGTGAGGAGAGGTCTCGTGTGGGTTTGGGATCTAGGAATCCGAGGAGTCACGGTTGTGGGAAGGCGGAGGAGGGAGGAGTTGCGGTGCTGGGGAAGGAGGGGCACGAGATCGAGCCGGCGGCAGCTAGGGAGGCGGCCCGAGCGTTATCTTTTTGGAAGAAAATAAAAAATGGACACGGGGGCGTGGGACAGGCAGGGAATCGAACCCTGGATGTGTTGCGCGGTGTCTGCGTTTGAAGCCCGCATGCGTGGATGAAGGGCACGGAGGTGAGAAGCCTAGCATCACACATCCGACGTCAGCCGTCGGATAAGTTTGGGTGCTTTATTAGCTCTTGATTTCAAAGAAGACGAATTGTTGTGTGTATTTTTCTGGGTGCAAAATGGTTGGAGGCTCTCAGCGGGGGATGTTTTCCTGGGGGGGACCTAGTATAATTTTGATTGATCCATTATAGTAGAGAGATGATGTCATGTAGGCTCGGATACCTATGTGGAGGTGAGAGAAGATGGAAAGGTGGCTTTGCACCATGTAAGTGTGGCTTGCAGAGGAGACATTTGCTTCGTCTGTCGAAAAGCACAAGCTGCAGTTGAAGCCATGCGTTGCAGCAAAAAAGCGTTGACTTGGAGCATAAAGTAGAGTGGCCTGCTGGGAAAAGACTGCATAAACAATAGAGTAGAAGAAGCTGTTAAAAATATATAGCGTTGTGACATTAGTGATTTTAATCTATCTTTGTCTAGGTGGAAGGAATCTTTCTGCTGAAACCACTGTCCATAACAGCCTGCGTAGGGGCTGCCCTTAAGGTAGGCTTGTTCCCTGAAAAAAATATGAGTGTGTTTGGTTAGGCTGCTATCTCTAATCTGGTTTTCATAATAGTTTGTTTGGTTGCTTGTTTTACTGTGGATAGAATCACCAAATCTTTAGCATTCTATCGAACAATTGATCACCTCCTAATTACCCACCAACGAATCAAATGCTCATTTTAGAAGAATCTCTACTATAAAGGACCAATCAAAACTATACTAGGTCTCCCAAAAAAAAGTCTCCCGCTGAGAGACTACAACCATTGTGCACCAACGAAATTATACCCAGAATTACCGTATCATTAAAATCTATAGCTCATAATCCTTTCTCACAGGCTTCAACTTGATCCGATGACCAACGTTATTTGGATCTCCCCCACCCAGGCTTCAACGCACGCCTCACATACCCCGCAGGCTACGGTAAAATGGAAACCAATGGAAGTCAATCAAGGCAAATATGAAAGTCAATCAAGGCAAATAGGAAGGAGAGATCCGTGATTCCGATCAAGGCAATTTCCAGAATTGTCATTATAATGGAAAAACCCATGCCGAGCCTGGCCTCATCTGACGCGCCCCTTCCAAAACTCTCCGTGTCGTTCTGGTATTGCGTCAATAAGGAATGGCGACAGACCTGCCAACATACCCACTCCCATGTTTCCGTCAAGAACACGTGGGACCTGGTTTGGTGACCCCACGTGTCAGTAGGAGTAGTGGAGCATCTGCAGCGTGGCTAAACCTGGAAAAGTCTACCCCTTTCTTCTAATAAAATACCAACGGCGGCACCCTGGACAAGGAAGCAAAACAGGTCACTTACAGTCCGGGCCCACAAAGAGGAGATCGATGAAGAGGTTTAGCACATTTGGTTTTGCCTTTTAAAAAAATAGAAGAAATATCCGGTTTCATCCTCCAAAGAGAGGAGTTAGACCACTGTGTTACAAAAGTAACACACTACACGCCCCGACCGAGTTTACAAAATAAACGAACCGACTTAACACGTAATTATGGAAATAAAAGACCATTAGAGACAATTAGTTTTGTTCTAATTTTTAGATATATAGCTTTTGCTATGCACCTATATATACATAGTAAAAACTACTTCCTCCATTCCAAATTATAAGTCACTTTGATTTTTTGGTACATCCATTTTGTTATGCATCTAGATATAATAATATGTCTAGATACGTAGCAAAATGGATGAACCAAAAAATTCAAAGCGACTATATAATTTGGAATGGAGGGAGTATGTATCTAGAAAAGCTAAAACGACTTACAATTTAAAATAGATGGAGTACTTAAAACTTAGTTGATAAATCAGTTGATTATGCCAAGAAGAAATGCTTTTTTTCTTTTGTCCAATAATTTTCATTAGTTAGCTTTCTAATACCCCAAAATCATCTGAAGAAAGAAAAACAGGATGGGAGAGAGGGAGAAACCGAGGAACAACCAGATAAATATCCATCGCGGTTGCGCACATATATTTACGACTATATCTACTATTTAATTTTAAAAAAAGATCAAATACAATTTTTTCTTTCATTTATCAAAAGTGAATTATAGAGTTACTTTAAGAAGCTATATCTACTTTAAGAAGTTTGGTACGGCATCTTTGATTATTTGTGATGAAGTTTGCATAAAGTGGCCATGAAGATCTCCAAGACATGTTTAAGGATTTAGGCAGATTATAAATTATATGGTTAATACGAGAAATAACTTTTATGATTAATGCAAGAAATAACTTTATTATGCCTTGTTACGTGTAAGTGTTTCCTGTATTGTATATACATGGTTATATACAATTATGTGAAAGTTAAATTCTAGAAAAAAAATCATTGTTTGGTTGTTTTCATGTGAAGCCGTAGCGTTAGCACTGTCTATAGCAGCCTGCGTAGGGGCTCCTCAAGGTAGGCTTGTTCAATGAAAAAAATATGAGTGTGTTTGGTTAGGCTGCTATCTTTAATCTGGTTTTCATAAGAGTTTGTTTGATGGCTTGTTTTACTGTGGATAGAATCATCAAATCTTTAGCATTCTATCGAACAATTGATCACCTCCTAATTACCCACCAACGAATCAAATGCTCATTTTAGAAGAATAAAAACAAATGACACAGCTTGTATGCATCCCAACGACTTGGTTCGACATCATTAGCTGTTTGTGAATTGAGATTAGATGCACTCGTTAGTGCATAGCAGTAGAAACAGATCAGATCGAGGCACGCAACCGTCGCGGCCGCCCGACGCGAGCCCCTGCGCCGCCGCCTAATGCCAGCCTTCTGCTGCTGCTCCTGCAGGAAACAGTCGCCGCCGATTCCTTCTCCTTCATCTTTGCACCATGACATCGGCATGGCCGTCCTCGAGCCTCCAGCTGGTGCTCTGGCTCCTGGACCCATCTCCTTCTTCTCCTTCGCCTCCCGGATCGGCGAGACGCATCTGCGCCCGCGGCGCGAACCATCTCATCCTCCGTCTCCGGCCGCCGATCACGAACGGTCCTGGCGGACTCCATCCAGGACAGCGCCACCGACTCGAGCCCTGGCCCCATCTGCGACGCCGCGCTTGCCTGCTGCTGCAGGGCCGCGGCGGCGCCGTACCTCGGCACGAGGCAGCACCCTCCCTTCGTCTCCATCAGCGGACCGGGCATCGTTGCGGAGGGCACGGTCGAGCACGGCAGGGCCGCAATCACAGCAGCGAGCACGGCCGCATTCACAGCATGGCGAGCAGCAGCAGGTCGTCTCAGTGGCTCGATGCGCTACGGCCGCCTGCACCCGCCCGGTTGAGTTCGCCGGACCGAGCACCCGTGCAGGCTTGTCGGTGGAGACGGCCGCACCAGCCCAGGACCTTGCGGGCCGCGCCCGCCCGCTTGAGTTCGCCGGACCGAGCGCCGTCAGGATCAGGGGCCAGGAGGCGCGCCCGGCGCTGAGAAGAGGAGGACTCCGCTTTGTGCTCGGCGCCGTCCATGTCGATTCTGGTCGCCGGAGGGGAGCTGACGCGAGCACGAGGTGGAAGAGGGGAGCTGACGCGAGCGGGGAGGGCCGCCGGAGACGGTGCGGGAGGGTCGCCTGGGAGGCCCGCCGGGGAGGAGCAGAGGTGAGCGGAGGAGCACCGGAGGGAGGCAAGACCGGAGGTGACGCGAACGCTAATCTGCGCCTGGCAAGCCTGGCTCTGGAAAAACGCCCGACACCCACGTTCTTTCATGGGCAGGCTAAGGTTGTACGGTTGGCTCTCGGAAGCCAGTCCTCGCCCATTTACCCAACCAAACAACTCTATCTTCACTTTAGGGGACCAAATCAAAAGTTAACCACCTAACCAAATATACCTTTTATTTCTACTCTTCCACTTAAAAAATGTCTCTTCTCTATCTCCATCTATTCTATATCTATCTATATCTATGTGTATATGGGAAATATTGAATAGCAAGCGGATGATGTTGTTGTGCACCCACTGGATGCCGTCTTTATGACAGTGTTTAGGGGAGAGCATAGAAATGCTAAGTAGCGGGGGAACGCAGTTGCAGACGCGTCATTTGCATTGGCTGGACCCTGTCTCGCAGACAGAACTGGGTGCACAACAGCGATTTTTTGTCAGGACACCTTGTACACCGTTTGTCTCTTTCGTATGGCATCTGTATTTCCCCGTCCTGTCTAGACCGCTACCTTCTGCTGCGTATCCGCGAGCGCGACCACCCCGGCGGCAATACCCCCACCGAAGCGGAGCTCTCCCCCACCACGACGGAGATCCATGGATCATGATGCCCCCTAGCGGCGGTGCCATCCCCCACCTTTGGCGGCGCCCCATGCTACCAGGCGGCGCCCCATTCTCCCACCCCACCCGACGCGCCCTCCCACACCCCCGACAGCGGCCATGGTGTCGAGGTGGGTCGAAGCAGCGACCACGGTGGCTGAGAGCTGCAGACCCGCAGTGGGTGCGAGGAGAGTTGCGGGATCCACCTCAGCGCCGCTGCCCGATAGGAGCTGGGGACGCTGTCTCCTATTCCATTGCGTTGACGATGAACGGTAACACATCTGGTGTTTTGACCTAGCACTAAAATTTGACATATCATCATATGCATTGCAAAGCATTCATGAAATAAAAAATTTTCAATGCATTCACAAAATAAGCTTTATTTCATAATGTTGTTATTTCATGTGATGTGTTTCAAAACCCTAAATAAAGATCATGACCACAAGGGTCAAATTTCATGTGATCATGTGAGGTCATGTGTCATTTGACTCAAATAACCCTAATGGGCCATGTTACTGGTCAAAAATCAAAGTTAAAGTAAAAGGAAAACAAATCAAATTTGAATTCAAATTCAAATCACAAAAGTCCTTTTTGCCCCTTTTGTCTAAATCAAAATCCATTTGGAATTTGGGGTTGAGGCAAAAAGCAAAGTTGAAGATTATTTTATGTGGATCAACTTTGGTATTCAAAATTTTTCAAGTTTACATATAAAATTTGGAGTAATTTTGGAATGATTCAAATACTCAAATGCATCCCAAATTCAAATTTCAAAATGGAGGCAGAATTTGAAAATGTTCCTAGAAGCAAAGTTGTAGAGTTTGAAAAATTGAGCAACTTTCATTTTTGGAGATTTTCAACTTCTTTAGAAAAATTGGGAGTAATTTGTAAAACGAACTCAGTGGTAAATCTGTAATTATTTCAAAAATTCAGATAACTATAGGGCGCCACCGCCTCACCGCCGGCGTCCTTTCTCCGGCCTTTCAGGCGCGTCTGCGACCGCCCTTGGCTTCGCGCTGGCATGGGGAGCACTCTGCGTGTCGAGTCCGCGCGCTCCTGGCCGAGCTATAAGACCCTGATGACGCCGTTCATTTTTCTTCCTTCACTCTGTTTTCCCGACGCCACCGTCTCAACTCCAGCGAGCTTCTCTCGTCCCCTCAGCGCAAGTTAGCCCCGTAAAAGCCGTGTTCCAGTTTCGCCTGCTCCTTGCACATCTGACCGAGCTGTTGCTACCGCCTGATTTCGCCGAGAGCTCGCTGTCCACGTTCATCTTCCTCGCGGCCGGCGACCTCAACGGAAGCGTCGATTCACCGTGGCTAGCTTAATCCGGTGAGCCGTTACCCTCGATTGTTGGCTCTCTGGTTTCGTCGCGATGCTGTAGTGCTCATTCCACTCTTGCCTGCTCGTTTTGCCCACTGCAGTCGCCGGAGCGCTGTCGTCGACGAGGTCCGCTCCGCCGTGATCCCGATCACCATCGAAACGCGTCACCGTAGCTTCTCCGGTCTCGCCTGTTGCTTCAACACGATCGGGGTGAGCCACTGATGCTTCCTGAACTCTCTGTTTCACCGTTACTGGCCTTGTTTCGCCGGCGTAACGTTGTCGTGCCACCGCGTCCGCCATGGCCGGTGTTAGCCTTGTTCCATGTCGTAATCGACCTCCAAAGTGCCACTAATAGATGCGCCTAGCTCTTGTGAACATGTTAGTGCTTTGGCCGTCGCTGTTGGGCTCACCGTCGGCGAGTTTGCGCCGGTCAGCACCGTCACAGCCACAGTCAATGCCCGAGGTTGGGGATGACAGGTGGGGGCCGACTGTCAGTGAGAGCAAGAGAGAGAATAGTGACTTTTGTTATTCTCGGATTTTGAATAGTGCTGAATCTTTGGAAATATGTAGGAAAATAATCATAGCTCCAAAAATTCTGAACTTTTGTGTGTAGCCTCTGTACATGCTCTAGTATGGTTTAAAAATTTGAAACTTGAAATTTGAATAAAATTTTAATGTTCAAATATTCAGTCCATTAATTAATAAATGCAATTTCCATGATTTTTGTAGGCCACTGTATAATTCCAAAAATTATGAAATGAGTTTTGGTACACTAATTTGTCATGAGGGAGCTTACATAAATTTTTGAGGTTATTTGGAACAAGTTTATTTTTGGACTTAATTCCAAATTTATTTAAAAATAAATAAAGGCAAACCCTAAGTGTTTGATTAGTGTTGGATCTTGTTTTGGTCATGTTTTGTGACTAGTAGGGTTTCAAGATCCATTTGGTCAAATTACATGTGTGGTTCTTGACGGTAGAATTGCCAGTTGGTTTTGTTGGCTTGCAACTGTATCGTGAAGGAAAATCGTTTTCGAGGTGTTTTTACATTTCATGTACCATGAAAGCATCATGTTTACATTATCATCATGTTAAAGCATATGTTATCATTTCATGTAGAATCCGAGAGTGAAACGATTCTAGTTGAGCAAGTCCTGGAAGAATCTCCGGTTGTCACGGGATTCGATAATTGTGGTACTGATCCGGAACCTGAGATCGTCAACGAAGGCAAGCCCCGGTTTATGCATTAAACCATTACCTTGTTTACTTTGAAAAGTTTATCACCTATGTTACTTATTGCATTAAGTTGATTTATTCAAATGTTACCTACTTGATGCATTGCCTACCTTGTTGATTGTTTACCATCCTTGAAGATGATTTCATTTACAAAGGCGTATAATGCTTAGAATGCTTATGGTAGGTTTTCAAAGTAAAAGTTTCGATACAATCAAAGATGGCATACTAGCTAAAAAAAGAAAGAAGATAGAATGAACTAGAGACTAGTCGGGTCACTTATCTTGAATGTTGGGTAATGTTGCCAACTATGTCGCTTAAAGGCCACTCATTGTGGATCTTCTGAACGAGACACTTTATAGTACTGGTCACATACTCCGGTAAGCCTACTTTGGCTAATCCGATACTAAGACGAATGCCCACGCACTGGGAGTAGTGAGATGGCGGGAGTGGCGTGTACCCTCGTGGCTTGAATGTGGCCGGATTTGAGGCGTGCTGTGCTCTCGGGTGGCGTGGAGACGGCTTAGTACGAGAGGATCCGGTAGCGAGGTTGATATATGCAAGATTAAGTTCTACATATGTCGTGTGATAAGGAATCTCCAGCTGGGACTTGAATCAATTTGAATTGCCGGTGCTCCGCGGATATTGAGACTCGATTCATTACAGAAGCAATGCAGGACTAGTGAATTACTAAAACATGAGAAAAAAAATGGAATGAGAAGGATTGGAACATGGGATATGAACACTTGGTTGGAGATAATGAACTAAAGTACTTAGGGGTAAAACTTGAAACTAGGATCAAGAATAGTAAGCTTTGGCAAAGAACTTTTGAATCTTTCTACATCCTTACCTTGACCCAACACCTACATTCCTAAGACCTTCGCCCCTTTTTCGTCGGGTCAGTCTTGTTGAGTACTTTTGTACTCAGGGTTTGTTAACCCTTGTTGTATGTGAGTCATGATGCGAGCTTGTTTTGGTCCCTCGCCGCATGTGTCGTGTTGTTTGAAGTCGATGATGATGAGGAATGATGAATGGCCTTTGGACAAGGCACTAGTTTGTGTGAAATAAATAATGTTAATGTAATATTATCCCGCTACTATGGTTGTATGACACTTATGGTTTTGTAAGTTTGAAACAACTGGTTTGTAATATTAAAACTTAAGTCTTCCGCTTTATAATCTCTAGAATGTATATTAAAAACTGTTGTAATCTGCAATGACTATGATTGGGATCCTGTTTGAAAAAGATTCATGGATGATTCGGGTTTCCCAAGGACACCCGACAGATCTGTTAAGTTGTTGGGAACTTGTGTACGCTATCTGAGGTCTGTTGAGACATCAATAGGTGCACGTGGGCCCGATTTCTTAGAAGGTTCTACCACAGCTGGTATCAGAGCAGGTCCTATCTAAGATCATTGTAGGTTACTTTGGAAAAACCTTCAAATTGATTTGGATCAAAGAAATTAAACTAGATATTTTGAGTTCAAATTTCTTTCTTCTTCCCTCTGATCTAGCCTCAATTCTATCTTATTTGAAAATTTGTGGGGATAATATGATTAGGTTTGTCCTATATATTAAAAATCTAGTACTTTTGATTGTGTAAATCTTTTGTACTCGGATTCGTAAGATCGATTCATGCATCATGCTTGAACACCTTGCATAATAATTCCCCTTAAAAGTGGTTGGGTAAGTAATGTCAATCCCATTCTTGCTAACCTCCATTATCCTCAAGCTATCCTTATAGTCCTACCCTAACTTCTATAGGCTATGGCAAAGACCAAGATAACCGCACGCAAGTCCACTGGACCTCACGGAGTCCCTCGTCACCAGTTGGCACCGCATAACCGTGAGCTTGGTGAAGGAAGTTCCAAGACCCTAGGAGATGAAGGATCTTCAAGCAATCCCGCCAACATCGAGAACCTTACCAAGGAGCTCAACACTCTTCGTGGAGCTCATGCCAAAGATCAAGAGAAGCTGGCGGAAATGGAAAGGGACATCACCAAGAATACCAAGTTGC